TTTGATCTCCTTCCCGAACCTTACCATCGCAGGGTTAGACTAGCTCTGGTGTTCCTATATTTTGGCTTGCCATTCCTTGTATCATCAATTCATTGAGTGAACACTTCGTTATTCATTTCCGCGCTACTCTGCTTGTTCATTCATAACACCTGGTAATCACAGCCACTTTCCTCACTCACCCGTTTTCGTGAGTTGATTTTTTTTCGGGGGGTGTAAGTCCCTTACGTAAGCTGCAAAGCGGTTGCTCGCGAATTAGACTGATTAATTCGCCCAACTACGATAGCGTTTGCGCTTACCTGAGTACAGGCACATTACGGATTTCCCCCTGCCCCGGCGGAGCATTCGCCAAATGGACCAAGCTCAGTTCAACGAGCTTCAGGAGCAGTTCAACGCCATGAACACGCGCATGGCTACAGTGCTGGAGGACAACGAGCGACTTCGTGCGGAAGTTGCTGAGTTACGCCAGGCGCGAGAGGATTCGCGTCAGAAATCTGCCGCCCAAGAGGAGGTCGCCAGCACCGGACGTGTCGAAACCGTCTTGCACGAAATCGCACGTCAGGTGTCACAGGAGCGCAAGGACAGTGAAGCCGCTGCAGCAGCTGACGTGGCAGCACGAGCAGCAGCCGAAGCAGCAGCAGCAGCAGCAGCGACAGCAGCAGCCGCTCGGTCAGAGGCAGCCGCTACTGTAGCCGCACCGGCGTTTATGCCGATCGTGACGACAGCGACGATCAAACCAACAATGCCGCCCCCGTTCAATCCCACAGATAAGAATACTACTGTTACGGGCTGGTTATTTTCGGCGGAAATTTATTTTAATGCCGCTGGGATCACTGCTGACGAGTTAAAAATTCGACTGGCTGTATCACTACTGCGGGGACCTGCGCTAGATTGGTGGCGATATACTCTACAGGAGGGGGAGTTTTCGGCAGGCGACACACAGGGGTTTTCCGGAAACTTTGGGTCTGCTGCCCAAGGGTCAACCGCGATTTTTGGATCGACCAAGATTCGCACATGGAAGGCGTGGGGTACAGCTCTGCGTGAACGGTTCGAGCCAATATCCGCCTCGGACAACGCACGCACGAAGCTGGACAACTGGCGCCAGTGGAGTTCTGTCCAGGATTACGCGTCGGTCTTCATGGCGTTATGCGATCAAATCACCGACATGCATGACTCCGAGAAGAAAGCTCGATTCATTTTGGGTTTGAAGCAGGACATTAAATGCGAGGTCCGACTGCGACTGCCGGCGACGTTTCACGAAGCCGTCCGGATCGCAGACAATTTCGACGCGCATCGGACGTATGCGAGAGCGGGTTCCCGGGAGGGAAATCGTTTTCGTGGCCAGAATCCACGGCCCACGATTCACGGCGTAGTGGCGAAGGAGCACATGGACGATTTTCGCAAGGGACAATGTTTCAACTGCCACCAGCCGGGTCACCTATCTCACGATTGCCCCCGAAAGAAGCAGATAAAGAAGAACGACGAGGACAGGTCGGGAAACGCCAAGCGACAGTAGCGGTCGGGCCCCCTACTGACCCTGCCTCATCGCCCGAAAAACAACATCCCCACCGAGTAGTGGTTCCGATACATGCTATCAACCGCTCCCGGCTGAAAAGGGAGGATGACCCAGTGGACCACCCTGTACTGGCGGAAGGACGACTTCATGGAAGAAAAATAAAAATATTCATCAACGGAGGTGCGAGTCACAGCCTGATAAATCGAGAGACAGCACGACGACTACACCTGACGCTGGAGCGGTGTCTACCCGAAATCGATGCGCGATTGGTGGACGGCACCCCGCTGGCGATACGCGACAAAGTACCTGTCGTCCGAATGAAGTGTGGCGAAGATTTTGGTTTCAGCGCGCTGATGCTGGCGACAACGCTCGACGGTTACAACGTGCTATTGGGATGCGATTGGCTGCAAAGCAGGTCGATTGGACAACAGGCGAGTGCACAGTGAAGTGCGACAAAGGTTGGCGAAAATTACCCACGTGGCCGGAAGCAGAGACAACATCGACACGAGTCAACGCGGTGTGCCTCAATCGAGCGGTCAAGAATGGAGCAGATTTATACGCCGTCCATCTAACCGAATCGACGGAGCAGAATGAGGCGACCGACATCAACAAACTCTACGCCTCGGTCCCGGATGACTTGGCGAAAATCATTCGGGAATATCCTGAGATCTTCCCGGACGACTTGCCAAGTGGACTGCCACCCGAACGACCCCAGGACCACAAAATCGAGCTGGAGCCCAGCGCACAGCCTACTGTACGCACGCAATGGCGCCTGACTCAGCCGGAGCTACAAGAGTTACAAAACCAGCTGGACTACCTGCTGGCAAAAGGGTTCATTCGGCCGAGCACGTCCCCGTTCGCTGCACCGATCCTGTTCACACCAAAAAAGGACGGCGGACTTCGCATGTGTACGGATTATCGTGCCCTTAATCGGGTAACGATTAAATCGTGCTACCCAATCCCACAAACGGACGAACTGATCGACAACCTTCGCGGAGCTCGCTACTTTTCGAAGATCGACCTTCGTGGCGGTTACCATCAAATTCGAGTGTTCGCTGACGACTGCCACAAGACCGCGTTTCGTACTCGTTATGGGAGTTACGAATACACGGTGATGCCGTTTGGATAACGAACGCCCCCTCGACGTTTCAACTCACCATGAATGGGGTATTCCGCGATCTACTCGACAAATGCGTAATAATTTACCTGGACGACATCCTGATCTACAGCAAGACCCGGGAGCAGCATTTAAAAGATTTCGAAGCGGTTTTCCAGCGGTTGCAGCAGCATCGTCTCATCACCAAGGGCTCCAAGTGCGAGTTTTTAAAACAAGAACTGGAGTTCCTGGGACACGTGATCTCCACGGAAGGGATTCGAATAGACCCGAAAAAACTTCGGGCTATTCAGGAGTGGAAACCGCCGACAAATCTGCAGCAGCTGCAATCATTTTTGGGTTTCGTAAATTATGTGCGGAGGTTTATACCCAACATGGCGGAGTTAACTGGACCTCTAACCGACCTACTGCAGAAGGGGACCTTTTATGAGTGGGGGGAGAAGCAGCAAGCTGCGTTCGAGGCATTAAAAAATATTTTCATGTCTCCACCGGTACTTCGCATCGCTGGCCGAGAACGGCCCTTCGAAGTCATCACCGACGCAAGTGACATCGCCATCGGAGCAGTGCTCATGCAGGATTTCGGCAACGGGCTTCAACCAATTGCGTACGAGTCTCGGAAAATGCAATCTGCTGAGCGCAAATACCCGGTACACGACAAGGAGATGCTGGCGATCGTCCACGCGTTCAAAATCTGGAGGTGCTACCTGACTGGAGCAGACGTGACGGTGCGAACCGATCACAAATCATTACAGTATCTATGGGCGCAGCCGAATCTCAACCCGCGGCAGATACGCTGGCTGGACTATCTGGAGTCGAACTTCACGTACAAGATCACGTACAAAAAGGGCGCCAACAATATTGCCGACGCCCTTTCCAGACCATCTGCCCAACTCGCAGCAGTACTAGTCGCCCAGAGCAGCCCGCTACTGAGTGGACTATTTACCCACGGGTATTCGACTGACCCCTTCTTCGTAAACGACGGCCATCTCCCAATCACTACACGGAAAGGCGTCTATTACTTACGAAGCGGGACTGATCGAATTTGGGTCCCAAGTTATCGTCTACTTCGCGAATTACTAATTCAAGAAGTCCACGATTCGAATTTTTCGGGACATTTCGGGGTTGATAAAACTCTGAAGGCGTTGCAGCGGTTTTATTACTGGCCAGATATGGTGACGGACGTGCAGCGTTACGTGGCTGCGTGTCCGATCTGCTAGCGAATGAAGTCGTCACACCAGCGGCCCACAGGACTGTTGCAGCCCCTCGAGCCACCTCAACACCCATGGCAACACGTAACGATGGATTTCGTTACGGGACTACCGGCCGGACCCAGCGGAAACGACGAGGTTTTGGTTGTCGTCAACCGATTGACAAAAATGGCACATTTCGCACCATGTCGTACAACCATCACAGCCGAAGAAACAGCGTGCCTGTTCATCTCGACCGTCGTTCGCCTACACGGGATACCAGCAGCAATCATTAGCGATCGAGATCCGAAGTTCACGTCAAAATTCTGGCAGGACACGTGGGCTCGGTACGGCACGCGTCTATAGTTCTCATCCGCGTATCATCCCCAAACGGACGGCCAGACGGAAAGGACAAATCAAACGATGGAGCAGCTTCGGACAAACTGCCCCGACCGGAAAAAATGGGAGGACGTGCTGCCCATGTTGGAATTTTCCTACAACAACGCGCCCTCAGCTACGACTAATCACTCCCCGTTTTACCTCAATTACGGGATGGACCCTACAGTGCCGATCTCCACCAACGTTGAGAGTCAACTACCACGATCGCAGCAGTTCGTCGAAGAATTGCAGACTGCCCGAGACAAAGCTGTCGAACTTATTCGCAAGGCGAACGCAACTGCCTGACGGTATGCGGATTTACATCGACGGGATATTACAATGACATCAGGGCAACTAGTCCTTTTGGACACCAAGAATTTACGACTGCCACTACCGACAAAATTAAGACCACGTTTCTGTGGCCCGTTCAAGATCATGAAGATGGTGACGCCGGTGACCGCCCAGTTACGCCTACCTGATGACTGGCGAATTCACAACAAATTCTACGTGAGTCTGTTGCGACCTTTTGTTGCTGACACGTCGGACATCGCTCGACAGCGATTGGTTCCAGATGTACGGCCACCAGCCGAAACGACCATCGAGCCTTCGAAGATCTTGAGCCATCGGATTCGTATCGACGGTCAAGGACGACACGTTGACTTTCTGATACGATGGACCAATCGTACCAGTGAGGACGACACGTGGGTGCCCTCGGACCAGATACAGTCACCTTCAATACTTGCGAATTATTTGGACCGCAAGCACGTCGCTGATATAGATCACCTTCGCTAAGGGGGGGGGTGGTGTAAGGAATTTTCCATTCCTTACCGAGCGGTACTGCTATCGCGTACGCTCGAACACACCCGAAGCCTCGGGACTGTTCCAGACCTTCTGACAGAACCGCCTCGGCTTCTCCAGACCTTTCGGTTCGACCTTCGGGAGTTCTCCGGGCCTCGCTTTGTCATTTCGAGACCCTTCGATCTCCTTCCCGAACCTTACCATCGGAGGGTTAGACTAGCTCTGGTGTTCCTATATCTTGGCTTGCCATTCCTTGTATCGTCAATTCATTGAGTGAACACTTCGTTATTCATTTCCGCGCTACTCTGCTTGTTCATTCATAACAGTGTGCGCCTCGAGTCACCCCAAGTCGCACTCCACCGAAACTGAACGCGCTCCGCGTTGGTTTGGCACCGAAACCGACACCAAGTTCGGTTCCACTGAACGAGCACCGAATGCAGTCCTCTTCCACCCTCCAATTCCCCGCACAACACTTCTAGTAGCTGCTGATTCCTCACGCCACATTTCCAGGAGTTGTGAACTTCTTCCTTCCTCCTAATTTCCACCTCTCATCTTCCCCGCTTTCCTCAACCACAGTTCTTCCGTACTCCCACCGCATATCGCTGCATCACCGTTCCTCCTCCGCACCTATTGCCGCCATCGTGCCACTGGATTAGGGTAGGTCCGCCGTTGGGTAGGACAGCGCCGAACCATCTCCAACAGACATAGGACACCACCCCCCCGCGGGAGTCTACGCTAGAGCATGTGGATGGCGTAGACTCCCGCTGTATACCGAGTGTCCACTCCCAGCGGGAGTTTATGCCATCCGTTCCTTCGAAAACCACTTCACCGCTCTGTTCTCCAGTTCGCTGTCTCTCCCTCTTCGCTGCTCTAGCACCCCCACCAGCGGAGCTACTCTCCCCGAAACTTATCATCCTCACGAAGATTGCACTCTGCCATACCATTCACTGCGTCGTTTTCCGATTCGCTGTCTCTCCCGCTTCGCCGCACTAACGCACCCGCCCCTATGTGACACTAGTAGTACTCTTCCGGCGGGCCATAGGAGCAGTTCCTCTGGTTGCCGTATCAGAATGTCCCGGCACGGCAGCACGGAACGTTTCAGGCGTCATGTCTCCCTCTTTGCTGATCTGTTGCGCCCCCAAACCACAGTATTCTAATGGCGGCCCGTGGGAGCTCCCCACCCTGGAGGGGCAGCCGCTGTGGCTGTCATACAGTCTGCAAAATGGCGGGACGTGGAACGTGACGGGCATGTCGCCCCAGCAACAGGCCAGCACACTGCAGCCCAAGTCCAGCAGCGGCTATCCGATATTCCAGGGAACTCCCTTCGCATATTCTTCTCTGGACGCCGCAGACCTTTTGCTTGATATTCCGAGTGGCGAGGTGGCGGTGTATAAGAGCGATGCTGTGCTTCTGCCTTACAACATGGATGCTCTTGCCGCGTATGCGGGTAAGCACACACACACACATGCATGCACAAATGCATACGCAGGTGCACACACACATTGACGCGCGCGTGCCCGCACACGCACACGCACACGCGCGCGCGCACACACACATGCACACACACACACACACACACACACACACACACACACACACACACACACACACACGCACGCACATACACACGCACATACACACGTCACAGCGCGTTCGACTCACATGGAACTAACGTGCCGATGTGTTCCGGTTGAAGTAGATCCACTTGCTGATTCCGTCTGACGCCCACAAGTCCCTTTGCTGCTCTGCTTTCCTGCAGGAGCCACTACTTCCATCTTTAACCTGCTTGCCTTGGTTGGCCTAGCCCTCTCTGCACTTCTCCTCGTGTAACCACTATATGTCAGGTAGTAGCTGCTTTGTGGTATCCTGGTCGTTGGGCTTGTGAATGCTATTCCTAGCTGAGTTGATGTGCAGTTGTGCTGTTGTAGCAGAAATACTGGAAGCTGAACAGGAGGCCTTTTCCAGGTAGCTGATACAGCAGTGCTTACAGTGTTTCTTGCTCTGCTGCCTGTGCCCTAGTGTGAGCCAGCTTATCTGACATGTAGACTATCTATCTTATTAATACATCCATCCATGACACTACGTACCTGCACCGGCTACTGCACATGCTGGATTTATTCCATACCGCACCATCATGGATGGCGGCTCTGCAATGCACGCACTTACTCATAACGCAGCCCCTCATGCACCTTTCGACCCACTGCATAGCTGCGAGGATGTGTCATCTGTAGGAATACCTGTTCGGATCATATCAGATCACACCTAACCTTGAGGCTATTTACCAAGCTTCCTATGGAGAGAGGGCCACTCCCTTCCCACCTCTGATTGCTCCTCAGCTCCCACACCAGCTCTCACTTGTTGCATCTCCTCTCGCATGCTGCCTCTCTCCCCCGCTGCGTTACCGTCCACCCTCAGGCCCATCATTCCTCCGATTCCCTCCCACCACAAGACCTCCTGTACCTGATTGCTCTCCTGTCCCCACTGTCAACTTATATATTGTATATATATAGTTGTGTAGGCTTGGTAGGTGTTGGGTGTTCTACAAATGACTGGATCCTACTGTAGAGGGTACAACCCACTTCTTGTAGTTAGAAGGAGCTAATTAGGTAATTAGGCATTAGGAATGCTGAGAGGCTTTAGCTAGGGAGAAAAGTTGATGACAGAAAAGAGAGTTGGACTAGAAGAGAGAGAGGTACAAGAAGGGTGTTGTACCCTCTATAGTAAGATCCAGAAACGTAGAACACCTACCAAGCCTACACAAATATATGTAAAAAATATATAATTTGACACTTGTACCTCTCTCTCTCTCCTAGTCAAACCCCTTGTCTCTCGCTATTTCTCTCCTACCTAGCCAAAACCCTTAGCTAGTTCAACATGGTTTCAGAACAGGAAGATCCTGCTGAGCCTTCGTGTACTCTCTCCTCTCCTGTCACTTTCGCGCCGCCGTGGCGGCCTCCATGTGCTGCCGTGGCGGCCTCGACGCGCTGCCATGGCGGCCACGTCCTGCTGCCATGGCAGCCTCGAGGCATGGCGGCCTCACCGCGCTGCCGCGGCGGCCTCGTCGTGCTGCCGTGGCATCGTCGTGCTGCCATGGCGGCTTCAATGCGCCAGAGCACGGACGGCTGCGGCCAGCGCACTGCTTTAGGCACCAGCCAGCACGCCCGCACGCCAGCCAGCGCGCCATCCAGGGCGCCTTGCTGAAGGCACGCCCCCTCCCCTGCATCTCCCCTCATCCCAGCTGCAGCTGATGAGTCCCGTCCCCGTCGTCGCCGGGCCGTGCCACGCCGCCGGATGCCGCGGGCTTCACAGTCGCTGCCGCCGTCGTCGAATCCGCCACCGCCGCTGCAGGTGCAGCTGGCTCTGCCGCCACCCCGCCACTGCCGTCGCCGCTGTCGTCATTGTAGCTGCCGCTGACGCCGTTGCTGCTACTCGCCGCCGACGTCGACGTCTCTCATGCCAAGGGGTAGAAGCCGTAGCTGCTGCAGGACATGGGGGTGCAAGGGCTTGGGGGTATTGCGTGTGTGGTGTGCTAGTGCCTACCAAGCCTAGGGGGTGTGTCAACTTTTATATTCTATGTATATAGTTGTGTAGGCTTGGTAGGTGTTGAGTGTTCTACAAATGACTGGATCCTATTGTCAAGGGTACAACCCACTTCTTGTACCTCTCTCTCTCTCTCTCTTATAGTCAAACCCTTTTTCTCTCGCTTTTTCTCTCCTATCTAGCCAAAACCCTTCCTTAGCTACTTCAACATGGTTTCACAGCAGGAAGATCCTGCTGAGCCCCTGCGTACTCTCTCCTCTCCGCTCACTTTCGCGCCGCCATGTGCTGCCGTGGCGGCCTCGATGCGTTGCCATGGCGGCCACGTCCTGATGCCATGGCAGCCTCGTCTAGCAGCCGTGGCGGCCTGACCGCGCTGCCGCAGCGGCCTCGTCGTGCTGCCGTGGCGTCGTCGTGCTGCGGTGGCGGCTTCGATGCACCAGCGCACGGACGGTTGTGGCCAGCGCACTGCTTTAGGCACCAGCCAGCACGCCCGCACGCCAGCCAGCGCGCCATCCAGGGCGCCTTGCTGAAGGCACGCCCCTCCCCTGCATCTCCCCTCATCCCAGCCGCAGCTGATGACTCCCTTCCCCGTCGTCGCCGGGCCGTGCCACGCCGCCGGGTGCTGCAGGCTTCGCAGTCACTGCCGTCGTTGTCGAAGCCGCCACTGCCGTTGCAGGTGCAGTTGGCTCCGCCGCCACCCGCCACCGCCGCCGCTGCTGTTGTCGTCGTAGCCGCCGCTGACGCCCACCCTGTCAACATACATTTTGTATATTTTGCATGCTAGATAGGTGCAGTCCTATGAGAGTACAGCCCCTTAGACAAAACTACCTTGTATCTATCATTCTAGTCAAATCTTTCTATTCTGAGATGGTATCACGCTAGGTTGGGATCCCACCCATCCGCGCTTCCGCCCCTAGTCCTAGCCCTAGCCCGAGCTGCCCGTCGTAGGCTGCCCGTTCCTAGCCGCCCGTCGCCCGTAGCCACCAGCCGCTCGTAGCTGCTGGCCCCCTGTCGCTGCTGGCCACCCGTAGCGGCCAGCTGCCCCTCTCCGCCAGTTCGCTGGTCTCCCATAGCCGCCAGCTGCCCGTAGCCCGCTGGCCGCCCGTAGCCGCCAGCGCGCTGGCCGCCCTTAGCCACCAGCCCACCTATAGCCCGCTGGCAGCCTGTTGCTGCCTGTAGCCGCCAGCGGCCCATCGCCGCTGGCCGCCTGTCGCAACTGGCCGCCGTCGCTGCCAGCCCGCCTGTAGCCGCTGGCCGCCTGTCGCCACTGGCTACCCGTCGCCGCCAGCCCGCCTGTGGCCGCTGGCCGCCTGTCGCCCCTGTCCGCCCGTCGTCGCCAGCCCGCCCATAGCCGCTGGCCGCCCGTCGCCGCTGGCCGCTCGTAGCCGCCAGCTGCCCACTGCAGCCAGCCGCCCGTCGCTGCTGGCCACCCGCTGCTGCCAGCCGCTGCTCGTCGCCGCTGGCTGCCCGCTGCCGTCAGCCGCCCGTCGCTGCTGGCCGCCCGTTGCCGCCAGCCGCCCGTAGCCGCTGGCCGCCCGTCGCCGCCAGCCGCCAATAGCCGCTGGCCGCCCGTCCCCGCTGGCCGCCTGTTGCCGCCATCCCGCCCGTAGCCGCTAGCCCATCTATAGCCACCCGCCTGTTGCAGCCAGATGCTTGTAGCCGCCAGCCGCCGCCCCCCACCCTGACGGCCTTGGCTTCCCACTGAGTCGGCGCTCCCGCCGGCAATCTCCACCGCTCTCCACCGCACTTCACCGCTCTCCACCGCACTCCACCACTCCCCACTGCACTCCACCGCACTCCACCGTACTCCACCGCTCCCCACTGCCCTCCTCAGCTGACTCACTGCTCCGCCAGGGCGCGGAGGGTCGGGCCGTTGAGTTTGAGGCGTGGCTCATCGACCTCCGCCGCCAGCTGACCAGGCAGCGCCAGGACCGTCACTCCTTGGCCGTCCATGTCGACGGAAAGCTCCCTCGCCCCGCCCTACCTGCTGCCCTCCCTGACGCCCCCACGTCTGCTGAGCGTGAGGCTTTTGTCGCTGTCGAGCTTGCCTGCGCTGTCTGGGATTTGGGCGACGCTGTTGCTCAGCTGGCCATTAGCCACACCCTCCTCCCGTCTGAGGGTCCCCGCTTTACCGCTGTCGCGAACGCCAAGGAATACTTAGATGCCCCCATCTCACGCTATTCCACCCCCGCTTCAGCCAATACCGGCGCCCTGATCCTTCCCATGCTGTTCACTGACCTTGCGTCCTTCCCCACTGTCGCTGACCTTGCCACGCACCTCCGTGCACTAAAGACTAGCTACCGGGCCACTAGCACTGAGGCAAAGCTCAGTGCTAGTGCTACCCTTTTACCTCATAGCCACGCGCCTTCCTGACCACCTAGCCACTGCCCGCGACCACTTCCTTAGCCAGCACCTAGGTGACCTCACCCTTACTACCTTTGTCCCCGCCATGTCCACGATACAGACCCGCCAGCACACTATCGCTCATTCTAGCGGTAGTGCGCCGGTCCCTATCTTCCAGGGTTGTGCTCCCTCCCAGTGCACTTACTCTGACGTTTCTGCCGCTATTGCTAAGACAGCCCCTGCTGATGAGACCGCCGCTGCTGCCTCAGCGCAGCAGCGTCAGGGTAAGGGCCGCCGCCCCATGGGGGGGCGTGGCGGGGGGAAGGGTGGTGGAGACGAGGGGACCGGAGCTGGTGCCCTAGAGCAACAGCAGCAGCAGCAGCCGCCATGGGGACCTCCGCTGCCGTGGTGGCCTGGCGGCGCCGGTGGTAGTCGTGGGGGTGATGGGCCGTACAGCTCGGTGTCAGGTGACGGCTCAAGTGTCATCACCTGCCAGTACCAGCTTCAGTTTGGCCCCCGCCGTGGCACCGTCTGCGACCATCCCGAGCACACCTCCGCCCGCTGCTACCGCCGCCTTGACGATCTTTTTCGTCTCCGCTTCGGCCCTACGGCGGACCCCCCGAATGGTACAATCTGGTGCGTCGTCGTGTGCCTGTTTTTGAGATGGACATGGATCTGATTAGGTCTGCTATGTATGCCCTGTATGTTGATGACTCTAGTGTGACTGGACCCTATTATCCAGTGTTGCCTAGCATAGGTGTGTCCACTCTATGTAGTCTAGGTTCCCCTGCTGCGTCAAGCGTAGGACCTCCTGCCTTGTTTAGCTTAGGCTCTATGCTAGCCCCTCCGCCGGCCGACGCTACTGCTTCGCTCTCTTTCACGCTCGACTCTGGAGCTTTTGCCTGCTTATTCAGCAACTACACTGCGCTCACGTCGCTTGCTGCCCCTGCCGTTATAGCGCTTGCTGAACCCTAGTGTGCTTTTTATGCTTTTTATGCCATGTATGCTAATGACTCTAGTATGAGTGGACCCTATTACCAAGTGTTTCCTAGCGTAGGTGTGTCCGCTGTGTATAGTCTAGGTTCCCCTGCTGCGTCAAGCGTAGGACCCCCTGTCTTGTTTAGCCTAGGCTTCACGCTAGCCCCTCCGCCGGCGGACGCTACTGCTTCACTCTCATTCACGCTCGACTCTGGAGCCTCTGCCTGCTTCTTCCGCGACCACACCTTGCTTACGCTTCTTGCCGCCCCTGCCGCTGTCGCGCTTGCTGACCCCTCCTCAGGTCCGATAGTCGCACGTAGCTCCACTACCCTTCCCTGTCCGATGGTCCCCTCGGGCTCCCTTATAGACTTGCACATCCCCTCGTTCTCCAGAAACCTAGTTGGTGTTGGCTGTCTTCAGGATCTCGGCGTCACCACTATGTTCCCAGGACACGAGCGGTACGCTGTCTGTACTGAGGCCGCCACTGGTGCTCCTCTTACCACGTTCTCCCGCGACCCCGTATCTAGCGTGTTCATACTGAACACCATGTCCCCCCCGGTCGGAGCATCCACCCGGATTGCCACGTCCTCTCAGGTAGCTGCAGCCTGCTTGTGTTGGTCGCTCACCAACCCTTCACTGCTGTGGCACCACCACCTAGGTCACCCCTCAACTCCCGCGTCTGCATCACATGTCCCATCACTGGCTTGTCCTTGGTCTCCCTGCATCAC